ACCTGCACTATGACGAAATGGCTGCAATATGGCGAATATCGTGCCGCGATTCAATATATCAATGCACTATGCCGTGCTGTCGAAATCGCCTGCACTATTTTTGAAATGTGTGCACTGCCGCCTAAATTGGGCCTTTTCATTACATTCATTAAAATCTCGTTAATTTTTATTAGCAGTAAAATTTCAATAATTTAGTAAAATTTCATTAGCAGCTTGTTTGAACGGCACCACGCTACACTTGATGAACAGCAAGAGCGTTGTCAAAAATATTTTCTAGATGGGGCACCGAATTCGCTTGAAGGTTAACTAAATTGCTTTGCGGTACGCCGAATACCAATGCATATGACGAAGCAATGCACTCTGGCGAAACTGAAATCGCAACTACTGAAAATGAATGCATTCTCTTTTAAATTGCTTGCACTGTTTCGGAGCCGTGTGCACTATTACTGAATTTCATGCACTCGGCCTAAGAAGCGGTGCACTATGCCGAACTGTCGAAATGGTTGCACTATTTCTGAACTGTGTGCACTATTTCTATATTTGGCCGTAAAAAGGTGTAGTCGTCAGTTGTCAACTCCCGCTATCCAGAAACAAGGTCAAATGGAGAGACAAGTAACAGATATCCGACTGCGTCCAGTCGAGAGGCGTCGAGTTTCCGCCGCGCAGCGCCCATATGGCTGGTCAGCGCCTCTGGTCATCTCAGTCCGCGGCGCTGGCAGGAGCGGCGCGTCCGCCCGCCCTCCGCCGGACGCCCTTCACACTCGAGTCGGAAAATAAACTGCCAGCCCACTCGGGGCTGTGGTCGACTCCGCCCACCCCGTCCGCCAGCTCGGCGGCGCTTCCCGGACTCCAGGAAGGAGCTCAAAACCTGATGTGTGCGCTTCCAGCAACCGCGGCCACAAACACAGCTGCCGCCGTCGGCATAAACCGTCCTATCGAGCCGGTGACGTCATTGGCTCCAGACGGCCCAGCCCGCCGAGAGCCGGCCGTGTCCGGAGTGCGGCGCATCAGCGGCGAGTGCGGCGCACCAGGTGTCGGCGCGCGGCGCACCCATCGCGCCGCGGTCGCCGCATTCCGGGAGACGCGTCAGAACCGCTGGCATCTGTCAGAGCGGCGCCTTCCCGTCGTTTCGGACGGGCGTGACAGACTGAGTCGTGGACCATGTGTGTCGCACATGCCCGGCCGATGAGCACAGGCGGGGTAAAACCGGCGCACCGCGCACCAGGCGGGCGGGTCCGATTAGGCGGAGAGTGAGACTGACCGTTGGGTGTGTATCTCATCAGGCGCGCTAAGATGCGGCGTCCTGGACTGGAGCAGCGGCAGTTAAAACCGCTCTCGGCTAGGTCGACGACGAGTCTGACTCGAATTGGTTGCGACCCACGCTGAGTCGAGTGAGAGTCAGATCCATGAGGTCTGACTTGAGTCGGATTCATCAGCTCTTGGCCGTCCCAGAGTGGTCGCAGAGTGAACACTCTACCCCATGTCAGATCCAGCCAACTTCAGTCACTCCTATGTAGTTACACTCGATCCAGCAACTGACGAGAGTCGGCCAGGGCACTTCCCGGCAAAAATTGTTTGTTTTCGACCTGTCATCTTCATCAGACATTACTGAGATAGCTACTGAAATACTGACCGAAGACCATCCTACGGGGGACAGAGCTACTACATACTGCATAGACTAACGGAAATGTGTGTAAAGCAAATGCTTCAAATTATAAAACGGGTAATAGAACGTGCAGAAAACAGCTGGAAAATTACATCCTTCTAACGTTTCGCTGATTATCCGTGGGTCTGGCCATAGCCAGCCGTAGACGTCATCGAAAGTTGGAGAATCGGAGTAGGTTCTGCTGAAAAAACATAAGAACAGTGACGTAGTTATCAAGTAAATAACATATCAAGTAACTGGTTTAATTACATTCCATTTCAACCCGGGTATCGAATGTGCAAAATCCAGCTGTTGCTACAAATTCGTGACGGAATCAGTTCAACCAGCGACTGTTCTAGTCCTAGCACACCAACAGGAATTATCTGCTCCTCGCCAGCCGGTATTGCTATTCGCCGCGGTAGCAGCTTGTGAACAGCACCAGGGAAAGTCGTCGGTCGCGGCCGCCGCCCCATGATCGCTGTACTGTGGACGGCGTGTCCACAGCGGGCCCGGAACACGCTGTATGTTAGCTGTGAACACAGTGTGCAGACCAGCTGAGAGCGGCCGCGCCCTGCACCTGTCAGGCCGGCCGCGGTTCCCACCGCCGCGCCGCCGAGCTGACTGCGAGCCCAGAGAGCCGACGGGAGGTGCAGACAAGGGCAATGTCGACCGCTCAGACGGAGCGGAACACTTCACCTGACAGGGAACGCTCTGCTCAGAGTAAGCACCCCCCAGGATTACGGACAAAAAGACGGAGAGTGAGCTCGCAACACGCGCCTGAACTCTGAACGTCGACAGAACTGTAGACACCGAATTCAGGGCGAGCTCTCATCCAGGCCGAGCCCACATTCCCAGCAGCTGCCGACGGAACTTTGATGGATTGCAGAGACGGAACATCGAAACACCCACAGGACCTTATTACGCCCGAAGTGTAAACATCGGCCAGATCTCGGCCACGGTTGCGACATGGGCACAGCCGTCGGGTCCCGCCCCTGGTCGGCACAGCGAGGGGAGGGGGGAGTGACCATGCGTGTGCGCGACAGCCGCGCTAAGTATCGTCCGTCGGTCAGGCAGCCGGATGGCGACGGCACGGCTACTTCTCAGTTCCCAGCGGTCAGGGCACATTCCCCCGAATCCCTATCATGACGGCGAGGGGCAGCTCGCGCCAGGCGCGGCCGCGGCGCTCGCAGCTGGCTGGCTCACATCAGCGGCACGCCGGGTCTGGCCGCCTGGTCGCGTCCGCCCGCCGGCCGGCTGCACCTCTAACGGATAAACATTTATGCGCCGATTGGCTTATATAAAAACGCAGCCTTGAACATCCAGTAACACTCGCTCTGAACATGCATACCTTTCCTGAAGACCTAAAATGTAAAACGAAACAGGGTTCTGGTCTTGCTTCAATATGTTTCAAAGAAACTATATACCTGCGACTATGACATGTGCATAACATATTTTTACATTCAATTATTTTGAATTTGCAGAATAATTAGCGAGGTCCTAACTTTCAGAAGAGATGCTCAATTTTGGACATTCGCCACACATCTATTATATTATATGTCTTTTTATACCTTCTGGGACGATTCTTGCTTTCATCTTCACCCACCATTCGTAACAATATTCAACGGGCATGAAACTAATAAATAAATGTCTTCAGATCCGCAAGCGGGAGGCGCCTGAAATATAAATTCCACGCATTTTTTGCAACAATGCATCGTGCGATGAAAGAATGTCGGCGGATGCAAGTGGGACGTGCCCACTGCCCATGTGACATGCTTGGAATTCTCCTATGGGTTTGCCGCTGTAAGATTATTTTACAGCCCTGCAGACTTATAAAGTTGTCTTGATTGCGCTCATAGAATCACAATGACTGCCGACTGGTCACTGAAATTCCATTAAGATATTATATTATATGCCAATCTGGGAGATGCTAAACGAAGTAAAGGAGTGAATTGTAGCCTGTAGGTATTATTGTTAACGATTCATGGCTCATGCTATTAGTTCGATGACCATATATTCACATGCACTGTCCCGCAAGTCGGACTCGTCCTAATTCACGTTTAATGTGGAAATTCATCCACTTGCGGATCCAAGGAGGGGGTAAATGCTTGGGTCCCAGGCCCCAGCGCCCGAAATAGACGGAAATTAGCCCTCTTTTTTCGAGAACAGAAACACAAGTTAAGTGTTAACAGCTTTAATTAACACAAGTTTGCTATAGATGTACAATAGGTAGTGCATACTGCATATGGAATCAAAATCTTCAGTTTTTGGCATTTGGAGGAACTATTGGTGGAAGAGGCATATCCCCCTGGCCTCCACCCCCCCCCCCCCCACCCCCACCCCGATGTCCGAGACCGCCTTTCTGGATACGTTTACGGTTTATGCATCATCGTGAACTATTTTGTGCAAACGTAGGTGCTCGGATCTCGTAAAGCTATAAAAATACATTATGGACAACACATACCTACCGATTGTAACCAAGTGCGTTACATACCTATTTATTATTTATCCTTATATCGAATTGGCATGAAATTCGTCTTTACAATCATTGGATGATTGAGATGCCTATTTCCTAAAATATCGATGTCCTAAAGGTATGGATCATGAGTAGAAAAAGTTAATAATTAATCTGTAAATTGCACCCAGTCTGCTCGAAAAATCAGTTTTCTCTCTCCTTCATAATTCATGTTCTCCAATAATCAATATAATGTAATGCGATGGGCCGAAGCCCGAAGGCACAAAGTACGCACACGTAACGAAGCTGTATAATTGATTTGAGCAGAGCAAATCGAAGTGTCCAGACAAGAGCCTAGTACCTAAATAAGATGGCAGGACACCTATCAACTGATGCTTCCTTCCATGAGGAATCCACAAGAACATCGCATGCATTCAGTATTCCCCATTTATCTGTTGAACTGATGCTTCCTACCACGAGTAAATCCACAACATCACCGCATGCATTTACCATCAGTTTGTTGATCATCATGTGAAACTCGAAGAGGTCCGGAGATAACGCATAAATTATGCCGGACACATCCACACACAGCACAGACAACAGGCAACAGGCATCACCAGGCACCAACACACTTCGCGTATAGGTACAGCACAAAGTGGTAACGACTAACGCTACGAGACCGGGCTGTGGCTTGTAGAAGACCAGCGCAGCGTTTTTGTGTCTGCTCCGAGAGCCGCGCCGGCTGCTGCTGACCCACGGCACTGCAGACAGCCGGGAGAGGAGAGCCGGCTCGCCCGATCGATTATGGGCGAGTCGCCGTCGACTGTCGAGCAGGGAGAAAGCCAGAGCAGAGGTGTCGTCGGGCCGCCTCATTCACACAGGGGTGCTGCAGGAGAAACTTACCGAAACGGCTCGAATCCAGGCAATGTCGCTGACAGTCGGCAGCACACGGTCACAGCTGGCAAAACAAATCTCCCTTCCCGCGCACTGCGCGCAGCCGGGCACTGGCTCCGCGGACCTCACGTCGCAATAGCTCGAGCGGTACTGAATGAACCAGTCACGTGTGCGCCCGTCACCCTGGCGACCAAGCGTAAGCCCCGCCCCCGTTGTCATAGTAACGCAGCGCTTGGCGGACGACCGCAACAGGCGAGAAGGTCGAATTGTTTCATTCATTCGGGTGTATGAATGAATGAACGTGACCGGAAGCGAGCGCGATGGGCCCTAAACGCACCGTGAAAGACGAGTCGGAAATGGAGCCAAATCCGCCGGGCGCTGAGTAATGGTAAGTTGGTAAGTTGACAGTGGGCCTGGCTGGCATCCAGCACTCAGTCTTGCCGCGTTTCGCCGTTGACATTTGCTAATACGACGGGCGACGGCACAGCGACGTTGGGGAAACGGGGCGGGGGCGTCCTATTATAGCGATACCCGCTTTTTTTATCGAAAAATATCTGTTCAATCAAAGAAGAAGAAAAGGCATCGATCTTATTTGCATTGCCTTACAGTGTTGGGTGAACTGGAACAAGATATCCAACGTGATTTTATTAACTGGCTAACAATGACGATTGAAGACCTACACCTAGCTTACGCCAGTTTACGTGCTCATTCAAATGAGATAATTACAGTTTTGTGAAAATTATAGCAATGAAAATATCATGATAATTAATTATTGATAATGTTGATTATAAAGTGAAATGCTATAATTTCGGTGATGGTGAATACTGAAATCTGAATGCACCTTGCCTCTCTAGTCTCTCGGATCCGGTGGGCAAATTTAGCACCTGTCGCCATGCCAATTGCCATCCAGTCCTGCAAATCGACTCCGAATCCGCAGCATATTTAGACGTTATGAGAGATAATTTTCAGGATAACTTTGTAAGTAGGTACTCTTCGGAGTGGCTCTGCAAAAATTTCGCGGTTACAATTTGACAAGGGCTCTGGGCTGCTTCACAGTGGATTGTTTTAACGTCAATGCACTGCCACTGACCTACGCATAATGAAAGTTTCGGTTGACGGTCGCGGTGACGTGGTTCCCTATCAGCCGCTAGTTGACGAAATGCTGATTGGTTATCAGCTGAGCTGATTGTCACCGTCATCCAGTCACATCTACCGGTGCTCACTATTAAATTTCCCGCTGGGATATAGCAATTTTTACTCTGCCCACCGCGCCTGTCGAGGCAGTCGGCTCCCAGAGCCGCGCCTCGATCCATGTTTAGCAGCGTCGCTGGCAGGAGCGACGTCCGGCGAATCGACAGCGAAACCCGTCGTTCGGCCGTCATTTGTAAACACTTTGGGCTATCGATGGTCCCTTTATGGGCCGAGCATCCGTCTGCGGTGCTCAGCCAGCTATCAGCTGTGTTCGCAGCGCTGGGCACACGGTACCCGGCCACGGCCAGCGGGGTACACAGTCAGCGGGGTACACGGCTAGCGGGGTACACGGCCAGGCACATACATATGTACCAGGCTGGCTGGTATGTACTTTGACTTACATACCAGCCAGCCGGGGCGTGCACACGCTACTTCAGCGGGAAGAGGTGGCGTGATGACATCTTTGCAAGGCAGAGTGACATAGAGCGAATCAAAGTTAGATCAATTCATATGGTTCACTGGTGATATTTAATTGATATGTGCTCAGCTACCTTTGTATAAGATATTTGTTCAGTGGTACAAAGATCGTTAAGATCGTAAAACTATGCATTGCCGACAACGCCGAATAATGCATTGGAATTTTACATCCATGGCCTCATCCTATATTCCCGGGGTCATCTTTGGTCAAAAAGGATTACCAGATCAAGGCTGTGGACACATTAGCGAAAGAGCTTTGAAAGAGCTATCGGCGAATGCGCTTTTCTGTGACGCTGTAACTAGGTCCTATTTGTTGACAAGGTGTACGATCATTTATGAAAATTGTCTAAATCGGGCAGAATTTACGGATTTTCGTTTACAATTGGTGACTTTCAAGGCCAGTTTTACCAACAGAAAAATAGCCGCATGCCGGATTTTTTTTTTGTCTAAAGACCGCTTCACATACCGAGCGTAAACGGTAAAGCCCTATCCGCTTACGGGTGGCGGTCTTTTGTAAAAAATTCCGGCAGGCGGCTATTTTTCTGTTGGTAAAAGTGGCCTCTGATTGAAAAAAGCGTCAAGATATTTGTCGAAAGATCTTACAGGTAGGTATAGAGCTTTCCATTGCACTGCACCATTGCCTCCATTACCATTACGATTGTCTTTCTAGCTCCTAAGTCTTTACTAGTATTGCTTTTATTTTGTTTGGTAATCGGGTGTGGCCAAATAGGCTTTCCACCATAATGAAGTTTGAAATACCCACAGTGTATATAAGTACCTAGGTTAAAACATAGACGCTCAAAACTTGATTTATAGGGGGTTGAGGCGCGGAGGAGAAAGATTTCCGTGACTGCGTCACTGCCAGTGAGTGCGACTGTCACGAATTCTTTAGCCATTGATTCATAGCCTTCATTCATTCGGGCCTTCAGGGCAAAATTATTTTATTACTCCTTCAGTGCAAGATTACTTTACTACTCCTTCAGGGATCCTTTCATAAAACCTTCATAAGCGAAGTTTATTCGTAATATGGCCACCCAAGGAATTTTGCGTTTCTGACGCGTAAAAGACAAAAGTCTTCCACAAATTCTTGAAGTTTTGAACTATTAAAAAATAATTTGTTGTAATTTGTTGTATTGCTCGGGTTTACAGGTCTCAATATAATTCAATCGAAGCTTATTTTCTTTATTGTCTCACTCATGCCCTTCTCTGATGGTGATAGGCTCTGCTAGAAATTTTGTCTCTGGGATGGAAAGTCAAAGGCTTAATCATGGCTGATGGGCTATATTTTGAGTGTTTATCATGGACATTGGTATTTAGGAGACAATTTTCGGACATTTTGTGCTTAGGAGACATTATTGACAGCATTGGTATTTACTATTGCAATAGATATTGACTGGCTCAGATAATTGAAGCTGGAAACTTGTTTGTCCTGTAATTAAAACCATCATCAAATACTTACTTTCACATCTTTTGTCCAAATAGGTAAGTAGTTCACTACTTCTGTGTTCCAAAAATCCATTTCAGCATCACAATTGCGTCTTAAATTAGCTTTCAAAAGAAACATCTTAGCTTGATAAAATTGCATCAGTTGAATAGGTAGGTAGATATCCGTAGCTAGGTACATTGTATGTGCTTTAGTTTAGTTTGTGTTATGTACCAAGAAATTAAAAAGAATTCTTGTCTGCGTCACCCAAAAAAACTTAAAAAGAAAAGTTATGTATTTACTATTTACTTTAAAAAAAGAAAATAAAATATTTTTTTGCAGGACATTTTGAGGTGCATGCCTTCTAATATTTAAGTACCATATTTCTGGATCTGCAAATGTACCTAGTTATTTGTGAAATATAATCGAGGCTTTATCTAATTCAAATTGTTCAAATTGAATTGTTTTCTCTGTATTTCTTTTTCTTAGCCCCTGTTCCTCAAAAGGGCTGAATCTGATAGGTGTCTACAGCAATGATATATTAAACATCTGACAACCTCAACCTGGGCAATAAATATTACAGTGGATACCTAGTTATTTTTTACATCAAACCTCGACAATAACAAGGACATATATGCAACACCTTCCAACAATAACAATATCTGTCACATCTGTTGCATTCCACCTTAAAGTCATCAAAATTGTGTTTCTTTAATGAAAAAACTGAAGTTTTACCATGTTCTTCAGTACCTACCTACCTATTTTCAGTGATTGTAGTGCTAATTAATACTGTGTCTGGCTTTGTCATTGTTTCCAGTAATCCAAGAATGTTGTCATCACTAATTCGCCTGCAGGCCTGTAGGACTGTGCCATTGAAGAGCACCATCTTGCAGGCCACCAGGTAAGATTGACTCATGTTGACATGCTGCACCTCAATACACTTTAGAAAACCCTCACTGTGCAACTTCATGTAGTAATTGTGGTGGTGTTGTATGAATGTGGTTGTAAAAGAAAACCTTCTCCACAGCTTATGAGAATGTCTTTCTGCCAGACTAAACTCTGTGACCTGGTATGATCCCCAAAGGTGCCTGTTTCCTCTTCTTTCATTGAGCCTCTGTAGTGTTTGCTGATGAATTTGAACAGTCTCTGACACTTATTCTAGATACGATTGGGAAGTCTACTGGGATCTAGTCGGTTTCTTACACACCTCTCTCTCCTCACTGAACCACATTGACCCCCTGAAGTTCTCTGATCCTTCCTCCATCCCCAGGGTGCCGCTGCGGACCCCAGTGAACCGGCCGGTGACTCGATGGACGCCTCGGCAGCCGGTGGGCAGAGCGCCGGCTCGGTCCGGCCGGCTCGCCCCGCCGCTGTCCGTCCTGCCTGTCGGCCTGGGCGTGTCGGCTGTGTGCGTGTGGCGCTGGCGTCTGGGGAGCGTCACGGCACGCTGTGAGCACGAGCACAGTCGCGTGGTGCCAGAGGAGCCGGCGACGGAGCGACTGCGACTGGACTGGCGCCGCCTCTGGAGTCTGCTCAGACCCTACCTGCACTACCTGATCGGCGCCGTCTGCGTGAGTGAGCCTGTCGGGTGGGCCGAGCGGACGGGCGACAAAAGACAAACAATATTCCTACTGTATCTGATATCTAGGTATCTAATCTTATGATAAAATGGACACACACTGATTGTCTTGTAGATGTCGCCTTACACTTTGAATTTTATGCAATGTTGCTCTGGAATTGATTTCCTCTGTACCAAAAACACATCATATAAATCAGTCATAAGTTACAACTATACCACCCCTCGTCCCTGCAGAGTGCAGCCATAGTGGCGCTATGTAACGTGGAGATACCACGTCTGCTGGGAGACCTGATCAACGTGCTCACCCACTTTGCGTCTGCGGAGGGCGGCGGCCTCCACTTCAGCGATGAACTGCGCGCGCCGGCCCTGCGACTCATCTCGTTCTATGGAATTCAGGTGGGAGAGGGATGGGTGATGATTGATGGTGTCGGCAGCGTGCGGAGTACGCATTGATGACGTCTGAATTTGCTTACCATCCAGTGAAGTATAAACGTTAATGTCTTTTTTCCACCTGTATGTAGTATTAGTGGCCCTGATGCCTCAGCTAGGACATCAAGATGATAATGATACGACTTATTTGCCATTTTCCCTTTGCATTATTGCTTTCTTTTTCTGCACCCTCCATACGCCTGACACTGCTCTTCCTCGTTTTCTCTCTGTTTCTCCGCAGTCTTTGTTCACGTTCGCCTACATCGTTTGCCTGTCGTACATGGGCGAGGGCATGGCGGCCGACCTGCGATCCCAGCTGTTTTCCGTGCTCATGCAGCAAGACGTGGCCTTCTACGACCACCACAAGACGGGAGAGGTCATCAACCGACTCACCACTGACGTTCAGGACTTCAAGAGCTCGTTCAAGATGTGCGTGTCGCAGGGAATGCGCAGCGTGGCACAGGTAGGTACGGAAGGCTGCTGACGGGACAGGCTGGACAGTGGAGGGTAAGGCTTGGGTTAGGGTAAGGTGATGGCTATGACTAGGAACCAAGATTACTTATAACTAGGAACGGGTCACGAGAAAAATATTGGTAGATGAATGGTAGATAACTTTGGTGTTTCCGCTCTTCTCGGTTGCGGTTACCACGGAAAACCGATAAATTATCATTGAAACGATTGTGATTTTCCCTAATTCGTAGAATGGGCGAGTTACGAGGTTGGTCTGGATATGAAGCTCAACACTGGACAGTGGACAGGTCGGATATCTTCATGCAAAGTCTGGCCTGTTCCAGAAGTACTACTGAATATGCGACTGGCTGCTCTGTGCGGTCACATCTCACCCCTGCTAAGTCCCATGCCATGTCCCCAGGTGCTGGGCTGTGTGGCCGCTCTGTACCACATGTCGCCGCAGCTGACTCTTGGCTCAGCTGTGGTGATCACCTCTGTGATCAGTGTGGGTACACTGATCGGGCGAGGACTGCGAGAGCTCTCCCGCGAGGCGCAGCAGCAGGTCAGTTACAGTGGAGCGCGTTTTCTCAGATATAATACCCCTCAGATACAGGGGTGTGCGCTAGAATCCGGAAAAACTTTAAATTGGCGTATCGTATAAACTTTTTTGAATATATCATTCTTCTTTTCCTCATAGGTTTGTGACTTCAGTCGCCTTCGATCGGAAACCAAATAAGTAGAAATATCCTCTTAGCTCGAGCGCCGCACCTCGGTTATTGTGGCCCTCCGTTGCGGCCGCGCGCCCAAAGGAAATTGTGGACTTCTTTCAGTTCCCGAAATCGGCCGTGTACGACCTTGCAAAGTCCTTCAAAGAGTCTGAAGAGACGATGAGTGAGTCTCTGACTCCTAAGAGGAAGGAACAGGACCGATTCGAGGTTTGGAAGCGGAATAAGGACTTCTTGGAGCAGCTCGAGGCCATGATTGGAGAAGGTCCGAGCCTGCCCATGCAGAAGGTGACTTCGAGGCTCAATCTGCGCAGGGTAACAGTTCTTCGTGCCATTCACGAGAATCTCCGATACAGGAGCTACGTTCTTCAGGTGAGACAGATGCTCTCAGAAGTCATAAAGACCAGGAGATTCGGAGATGTTAGCTGATCATCACTTCTTTGGAGCACAGAGCCACCGGCCAGAGCAGCTTCTTTCCCGACCAGAAGATTTTCTGTGTCCGTGCGACCACTTTCTCTGGGGCGTCCTTGAGAGAGAGTCCAACAAACGACCTCACAACACTTTCGACTCCCTGGGGACCGCCATCATCCAGGCCGCGGTCAACTTAACCCGGGAGCAGGTCACCAACGCCTGCGGCAGGTTCCGGCGCCCTGTGGAGGCTGTGATTGGAGCTGGAGGGTGCTAAGTCGAGTGACAGTACAGAGGAGGGATCAGTCTTCGCTATAAAAGTAAAAATTTTGAAGGGAAACCTTGCAATACCAAATAAACCCTGAAGTTCTTTCCCTTACATTTTTTTCCGGATTCTAGCGCACACCCCTGTATATGACTCGCCGTCACTGAGCGAACAGTTTCAAGACGTTTCCTTATCATCTCTAGGCATCACATTGCGATGTCGGCTGTGCCTGTGTTGGTATTCAAAGATCGACTAAATCTGGTTTTTCTAGCATTTACAAGTGTGATGTGGCTGAAAGGACCAAGCTCAGTTTCGCTGCACGCTCGGCAGGTGGCGCACTCGACGGCGGTGGCCGAGGAGGCTGTCGGGAACGTACGGACGGTGCGAGCCTTCGCCATGGAGGATAGCGAGACGGAAATATACGTGGAGGAGGTGAACAAGTCTCGTGACATGCACATCCGGCTGGGAATCGGTATCGGCTGCTTCCAGGTATGACGGGTGGATTGGCTCAGGCGTTGTGGGGATGCGAGTGTAGAGATGTTGAGGATGTAAGAGCTCAGTTATGTACTTGTATGACGTACGAAATGATCGTAGTTTGTCCTTCAACTCAAACGAATTCAAGACTTTCTGGAGTGGTAGCACTGTCACCTATTCAGCATTTCTGTTTCCACTTTCCATCTCTCGGTAACTTTGAATCGTATTCGTTTTTATCGAAGACTGGACATCATCGATATCACCGGTCCGACCTTTACTCTGACATGCCTCCAATGCCCCCTCAAACACTCTATATTGACCAACCCCTTCTCCCTTTACCCAGGCAGGCGCCAATCTGTTCATGAACAGCGTGGTGCTGGCCACTCTCTACTACGGCGGCTACCTGATGTCCATGCAGCAGCTCTCGGCCGGCGACCTGATGTCCTTCCTCGTGGCATCTCAGACCATCCAGCGCTCCCTGGCGCAAATGTCCATCCTATTTGGGACGTTCGTGAGAGGGATGAGCGCCGGCGCACGTGTGTTTGAGGTGAGAATGGATGGGGGTGGGGTGAGAGGACTGGGAAGATCCTGGGAGAGGAAGGCTGTGAGAGTAAGGGCGAGCTTTGCTGACGTTAGATAGGGTGTGAGGTGGCGGGATGCCGGATGAGTTGATGTGGGCTGAGAGCACGGTCTGAAGAAAAATGAGGGGTCAAGCTGAGCTAGTGAGCTAGGTAAGAGCGTGAGTGAGCTGGGATGAGTGGCCTTGGGAAAGTTACGCTTATTCATATTGTGTGGGAAGAGGTCGGGTTGGAAAGTGCGTATTGCGGAGCGTTTGTTTTCGGCGAGCGGTATGTCATACGAAAGGTTTAAATATGTGCTCAGACTTAATCCTGTGCTCGCTTGTCAGACTCGCGAGACTTGTCTCCGTGGTTTTTGCGTGACACTCGAGGAATTACATGAGTTCCTGCATGAATTGTGGACTGATGACAGGAACAGCTTTCAACTAGCCTTTCACTGAAACATGTGGTAATCAAACATTGCACACATTTCGTACCAGTGTCTGGAAGGTGTAGCACATGGGCTTTTGGGATCCAAACATTGTTCAACAGGTTAGCAGCATTCCAAGCCAGCATCATCTAAAATATGCACAATCCTCATGCCAGTATCTGACTTCAACTGTTGTTACGAATTTGGGAAATCTGATTGACCCGTGGAATGAAATAATGCGGCACCGATGACGTCAAAACGTGTGCCTATTTGAATGCGTTTATGGGAATGCGCATTGCGTATGAAATGTCCTTGTCATGTCGTGATTAAGGCCTTTGCGTGCGTGCAATGTGTATAAGTCTAGATTCATTTGTGCGACATTCATGACTCACTGATATGAGTGACCTCGACATTTCTGCATACCCTGTAGGTCTGTAATAAACCCAGCACACTGTGCTCAGTCATGAATTCACGAAATCGTGGCGTTGTTTTCACAGTACATCAACCTGAAGTCTGAGATCCCGATCCGCGGCGGGGAGGTAATTCCGGTCAGTCAGCTGACGGGCTGCGTGGAATTCCGTGACATCACATTCAGCTACCCCACCCGGCCCGGAGTGGTGAGTAGGACAATTTCCAGGGGGCAGGGAACCATGCATGATTTTTTTTTGCGAGTATAAACCACAAATGGGACTGGTTGTGCCAGTTGTGGGGCAATGGACAATATGATTTTAATCGAGGTGTTGAGTTGGTTCTGCCTTTTTCCTGTGCTGTGTTTCTGCTTACGTATAATTCCTTCCACCAAATGACACTGCCGTTTTCTCTGTTCTGGTCGTCACTACTGGCAGATCAATTGCTAATTGAATTATAAATGTTTCGTGCCGGCACTCTGATTAAATTGTGCCGGTCTTATCCTTTCAAGTGGTGCTGGACTTGGTGCTGTCAGTTCCCCATGCTCAGCTATTGTTACGATCCCTTTCCCTTTCAGACGGTATTCTACGGCCTGCAGCAGCAGTCGTTATCAGTTCCCCCACGTTCACTGATCAGTGATCAATACGATCTTCCCCTTACAGACGGTGCTGGACGGCCTTCAGCTGAAGGTGCCGTCGGGTCACATGCTCGCCCTGGTCGGATACTCTGGAGGAGGAAAGTCCACCTGTGCGGCTCTGCTGGAGAGGTTGGTATTGTTCTCAACCATTGGATAGCAGATTTTCAATGTCATGCTTCTAATCATATTAGGGTGACATCACAGGACACTCATCTTCTATCAGACACATATCTTTTACCTTGGCGACATTGTATTTTTTATGTACAATTAGTGTTATGATCACCAGTTTCTCTGGAGTGAGTAAAATACTGTGATTCCAAGACTACAATGTTTCTTGTTCCAACAACGTTTTGATGAGATTGAAAAAAGAGCCATTGACCCAGTACCGAGACTGACGGCTGAGCCAGACTGACTCCGGTTTCCCTGACACCGAGTCGATTGGTGACGACCCGGCAGGTCCTGGCGTGTCTTTTCCTATTACTACGGCACACGATCCTCTGGTACCTGGGGCCGTATTCACGTCGACTTCGTAAGTCGATTTTCTTTCGTAAGTATAATTTGGTATTCACGTCGACACTTCTTAAGTTTTTATCGACGGAGTTCACGTGAATGAAAAAATTTACTTAAGAAGTAGGTCAAACTTAAGAAAATTCTTACGAAAATGATCGACGTGAATACGGCCCCTGACCTTGTCTACTGCCTCCGTTTGCTTCCTGTTCATATTGCTCCACGCACCACTTTATTCTTAACTAATGTAACGGTTAGTTATGAGACGTCCATACGTTATTTCAATCGGTGCTGCCATAAAGCGTACGGCTGTCATATAACCTGGACTGAGTGGACAGTTATGACTTTATGATAAAGATGCTCATGAACGTGGCATTAGGGGGAATCAACTGAGCTATATGTTGCTGAATAGTACGCAGTCGTGTTGGATTTATACAATGCCGTTGGGGGAATTAGAGACATCGGTTCCTGTCTTGTCCACCGTAACCATTTAGCGTCGACGACGAGATTGCATACTGGCCAAAGTCACTCAGCCAAACTTAACGCAGAAACTGCAGCTACGACGGTGGCGGTGCTGGAGGCCTGTGACTGTGACAATGGTCTCTACCAGTAACCCGTACCGATATCAGTAACTCGACGATGACATTGACCGTTCACGGTGACGATGCCAGCCTGGCAGTCCAGTGACGATATGTGCTAATTCGCTGGCCAGGTCCTATGGCCCGCTGTTGGGTCAGGTATATTCTGAACGTGTGTTCTCTCCACCGGCCAGGTTCTATGACCCGGTGTCAGGCCAGGTTCTCCTAGACGGCCACGACCTGCGCTCCCTGGACCCTCACTGGCTGCGCGGCCGTGTCATCGGCTACATCAACCAGGAGCCGGTGCTGTTCGCCACCTCCATCCGGGAGAACATCCGCTACGGCAGGGAGGATGCCACTGATGAGGAGGTATACACTCGGCAGACGCTCCCAGGTCTGCAGCTGTCCAATGTCCATTTCCTTCTAGGGACGGTCAGCGTGCACGGGTTCCGGACAAAAAGTCAAATGATAAAAGGTAAAAGGATGATAAGTCAACAGACATTACGTCAAAAGCAACGTTTTGACTTTTCATCCGTGAATCAGCGTGCACCCTTTGTTTCTGTCTGTTTATTGGCGCTGCCGTCTGTCTTCTAGTCTCTCTAATGTGGATGTGGCGATGGGGCGTCACTTTGATGTAACGTACCGTTTGTCTTGGAGGGCTGCAAATGAAGTCATATTTAGGACTCGTGTAAATGCACTGGCTCGCAGTCGCATGCGTTTTTTCGGCCCCAATTCTCGGCCGCGCTAAAACCCTATCCACTCACCCACTCACCTCCCTCCCCTTGCTTACCCGCAGGTGATGCAGGCGGCGCGTCTGGCCAACGCGCACCACTTCATCTCCGATCTGCCCGACGGTTACGACACGGCGGTCGGCGAGCGAGGAGTCACCCTGTCCGGCGGTCAGAAGCAGCGCGTGGCCATCGCACGAGCGCTGCTCAAGGACCCGCGCATCCTCGTGTTGGATGAGGCAACGAGGTGAGTTGAGGACGGGAAGAGGCAGAGAAGGGGACGGAGAGAGGATAGTGGAAAATCAGACGGAGAGGGAAAGGGAAGGACGAAATGGGAAGACGATGAAGAGGACGCAATGGAGAAGCAAGGGACAGACCAGAAGGTAAAGGAAGACGCTCGACGTAGGATGATTCGGAGATAGAGGCTAAATTGGCATGGTCAAGTGTTGATAATCGGCAGGATACAAATGCTTTAGACAACACACAAACTATCTTCTTTGTTACATCACACTTGGCTACGTCATATAAAACTGGGACCACTGTTGTTCTGAAATTTGTTAGTTTGTTGTGGCTTTAGGACGCGCCGACTACAGACGTCATTTTATGCCCAGCTGGTCTGTCATCGCGCTGACCTGTGCCTTTCCTCCTCCCAGCGCGCTGGACGCCGAGTCTGAGAAGGTGGTGCAGGAGGCGCTGGACCGGGTGGTGACGGGCCGGACCGTACTGGTGATCGCCCACCGGCTCTCCACCGTGAGACATGCCGACTGTATCGCCGTCATCGCCAACGGCAGGGTGGCAGAGGTAAGAGAGGAGGGAGGGAGGAGGGGAGAAAGGCAGAGTAGAGTAGATGAGGGGAGGAGAATATCAGAGCCGATCAGAACTGAGACGAGAGGAACCAGTCAGACAGCGTGGTAAGCTAAAACGCAACAGTGTAAAATCATTATCTGCACAATATAAGCAAAAAAAAAAAAAAAAAAAACAAATCATCAATTTTTCCGTCCAAACGAGAATGACTGACGTATATGTAGTAATGAGACCAGATATACACGCATTTACGCATGTAATCCACATATTCATTTTTTTCTGAATTCCCTGTTTCGCAATAGCATACCATTGCTGTGCTCCGCCCGCATCGGTTGCGATTTTGCGCCTCAGCGCCCGCGTGTCTCCGCCTGCAGAGTTCTGCAGAGCTCGCAGCAATGACCGACCGAGGCGGCACGATTTTATGATACCTTATCTCCGGTCGTGTGGCCAGTTTCCCCGTCTGACTCGTTCAGGGCCGTGCAACGGTTATCCCACGGCGGTGACGGAAACGCTCTGTCGGAGATGTGGGGCGGGGCGCAGCTGTACCCGACCGTTCGGGCGGGGGCCGGCGGGTCCTAACTAATGGGACAGTGGCAGGTCCCTGACCCGGAGTGATAAGCCGCTGACGATCATCCCCCGATCAGGGACCGGCAGTCTCATCGTGGGCGACACTGTTTCTGTCCTCATGACTGGGTTTAAGCGGTCTTGTGTCATGCCCGGAGCTGTCTTCTTCGGTAGCTTATAAACCTCCCCCTTTTGAGGTCTATGATAAAGTTGGTTTTGTGTAAAATTTGGTTTTGTCTGGTTTGATTGGTGATGTTTCCCCATCCCTAATGTGTCTGTTAGTGCCCGTTTTATGTCTCTAACCGACGTGTCCCTCGCCGTCTCCTCTGCCTCAGATGGGCTCCCACGCCGAACTGGTCAAGAAGAAGGGCCTTTACTGGGACCTGGTCAAACACAACACACTACAAGGCGAGGGTGGCGTTCAGGCCGACACTCGCTCGTTGTAACTACGGTGCCGGGGGCCCGTGGAGGCTTTAGATACCAATAGTCTGTGATCTAGATAGAGGATATACATGCATGTATGTGCCGGGAATATAGAGTAACGGGTAGGATCAACGATGGAAAACGAACAGCAGCTCTCGGTGGTACTGAGTACTGACCACTGACGCCGTCTTATATCATGAGCAGACCATTGCCCGATGTTAGTCTGTTTGTGTGCGGAAGTTTTTGGTGTTTGTGTACTCTCCAGCTGCGATCCACCGGACGCCAGCGGGCGTTTTAGTCCGTGGGAGATCCCGTGCGGCCGTGAGTCACTCGCGAGTAATTGGTGAGTCGGCAGTGAGTCGACGGTTATTCGTTAACGCTTCTTGAGCCACATGGTGACTCCATGGCCTCGGCTCGGTTTTATGCAGTGCAATCAGTGTTGGTACTTTTGATTGAGTGACGAATGACGTAGCGCAGGTTACACAATTTTTACGGCTGATCCACTCAGGTAAAGTAATTTAAATGATTCGAATTGAAGAAATCAGCGATAGCTTATGTCACATCAACATAGATGACACGCTTTACAAATGATTTGTAGTGCCAGTTGATACTCTCAGATACTGGAGTGAGACGCGTTACCCAGTATTTTTAGATGGCACTCTGTGATTGCTCGTTAGTGTGAATGGGTTATATCATCCACATCGTGGGCGTGTATTGTATTCTGTGGTGTCACAATACCTCAATGGAGTGATCAAACAATACATCCATGCCTTATCTTTTGATCATCCGCTGTGTACGTATGTAATTGCGCTCCGATGCAGGCAGACTCCCCAACGGGTGTAGACGGAGAGCTGTGAAAATACTGGACATATCGACTGATACGCTGACTTACGATCTGTCAGCGACCCACGAGAACATCTCGTCCATGGCAATGCAGTTCGACCCGGCGCGACGATATCGCCGTTTGTTTTACGAGGACGTCAAACGCCAGATTGTGAATATTTTACGCCCGATTTCCTTAGCCTCACACAAAGCCTGCAGCTCGCGTGCGTGCTGATCCTGATCTATTGGCGGCTGACATCGTGTGAGCGGTGTCGATTGTCCCCCCCCCATCCACACCACCCCCTTCAGGCCGGCGTAGATTGGCGGAGGTGCCCGAGTGACGTCACCGCGACGGAAGCCCCGGGGCAGCGGCTGGGTCACCGGGAACCGCTGACGGGCAGGGTCGCCTGAAGACAGGGGTAAGCCGGCGATGAAACGCTCGCCGGTGCCGCCGTAATGTGGACTGGTGTAAGCAGAGATGGGGGCGGATGGGACCCGGGGACGGGTTGACGGGATTGGTCGGAGTGGATTTCAATTTCAATGTAGTTGAATGGGATAATTAGAAAGAACAAAGGAAATGTCTTTTCCGAGAAAAAAAAACATTAAAATCGCACACCTACGTCATGTGTTGAGCTTTTAACACTAAACGATTACCTAAACAAGCACATAGCTTCGTAGCGTTCTCTGGCCGCGATTATTTTGTTTTTCCCGTTGAACCAATTCAACTGCCTCTCTCGTCCTTACCCCATTCTTTCAGTTCTAAGTACAACGTGAAGCGCGGATCACGTTTTCAGTTTGGCCGAGCACGTTCCAAGAAGGGTAATCAACTAGCTGGCACGGCAGACGAAATTTATGTCCTCACGGGAGTAAGCAAAGCCCGGGTAAAACTCTGAAAAGCAAGAGTAAAGTGAGGATGTTCGTAGCTTGAGCAAATCGAAGAACTCTTTACTAGATCTCTAGGCGCGTGCTGGTCTTGCACAACGTTCGTGGTGCATTGACTACTTTTTGTCGACCACCTGAGAATCAAACAAAAACTGTCATTTTTTGCGTCCCTCTCACCACCTCTCACGCTGATCACTAACAGAGACTCTCGGCGCGGTACCGACAGCAGGCCCTGGCTCGGTACGACCCCTGGTGATGATAATAAGGTTACCGATGTCACAGAGCAGGTGACCACATCGAGCGCTGAATGGTCTCCGCGGGAGGTATGGGGCAGGGGAGTCAGAGAGGTCAATGAGATTCATCTCCTGGCTGGGAGGCCGAGCCCTCCTTCAGCCAGTAGCGAATTGTGATCCACTCATCCGTTTTTATCCAACCCACAGGCTACCGGAGTCCCTTCCTGACGCAGATGGCCAGCACTCAAGAGCTAGCTAGTGGGGCATCTCCTCCCCCGTTTGGGGTCAGTGGTACGGCCACCGTTTGTCCTCCCCCGGGCCGCCGCCGCCCGGCCGACCCACGATCGACTCGGCCGCCATCGATCCGCCGCCCCCGCCCCCGCCCGGCGCGGCGGCCGCACTGGACGCCCGTCCACCGTACGCCGCCAGGCCGGCCGGCCGGCCCGAGCCAGCGTATGTAGGCCGGGCGGGCGGACCGACGAGCGGCGACTGGTACGACTAGGGGCGGAGCGAGGACCGAGAGCGTACGGGCAAACAGTTAACGGGGTACGCCAGTCCAAAACGAGGAGAGGAACTGATACGAACGAGAACGTTCAGAGAACGACCAGGAACGGTGTTTGGCGCAGAGTAAGGGTCCGGACAGGGCATGGTTGGGACACGACAAGAGGGCAAGTACGTTAGGCCTACGGGCCGATGTGGCGGGAAGGGGAACTATTCTTGACAGCATTACGGTAGCGTCTCTATCAAGCCCGTCGGTCGGTGTGGCTCGCTCCGACACCGAACAAGCTGTGCTGACTGGTCGATGGCGAGGCACAGGATACGGCCATAATTGGCTTAAGCCAACAGAGTGCTGGCTCACTCAACCGCGTTGTGCATGAACCCCGAGCGACTAGATTGTAGCACTCTGTGTGGTCAGAGCATGGGATTGTTACAGTGTTTGTACAGTCGCATTGTCACTCTATGATACCGTATCTAATAGCACATGAAATGCACTCAACGGAGATGAATGCTGTGCAAACGCGAACAGACAGTCGACGGCATGGTTCCCAGTCGAGTGGCACTCTGGCCAATCAGCTTGTCCATGATAATAGTCCGACGGTCTAAGTCGCTCCTTACTCCCCAGTCCGGCACGAGCCAGCCCGCACCACGACGGTCCCGGAACTGGTCAGACTCATGCCGTACCACGCACCGCCCCCGGCCGGGTTCCGCCCCTGCATACCCAGAAATCGGAGCCGCGACCGCTGGAACACAAACATGTGCACTCATTGTTCCAGATTTTGCAGAGTCGCTGTTCGACATACCGGAAGGTTCGCATGTTTTCAGTGATATCTCGCAGCGAACAAAAAGCGAGCTTCTCTCCGCCTTCGCCGGATGATATCCTGTCGCTTCCGTCGCCTGGACACAGCCAATCCACTTGACGACAGATGTATTTACCACTCCTGGAACGCACAAGATATGCTACGACTCTCAGTGCACATCGAGATGATGATTTAATCAGATCATTACTTTCAGCATCAGGTAAACGTATCAACGCTTAACAAACCCAATTCAATCGGGAGCACATATCACAATGCGACGCGGGAGATTGTGTCAACTGAACGTCTCTACAAATGATGCCATCTATCACGCTGGCCCTGAGCCTAGCTAAACGTCCATTATGCCGTATCGCGACGGGCGACTGTCGGTAACGCCGCGACAGAAGCGTCATGTACAGCTGAGGGGCCGGGGAGGACCGGCGGCGACCCCGGAGTGCAGAACATCACCACGCTGGCCTAGAGCCGTACCGTGAGACCAACAACACCAACTAGAGGCCGACGGGCCGGCTACCGCGCCGCGGCGGGCGGCCCGCGCGGGACCGACATCCGAGCGCACGGCGCTACGGCCACACCGGATCGGTAATAACAGTAACAACGACTAACAGCTTGAGCTACGTTCGACAATAGTGGGGTAGAGGCCGGGGCGGGCACACCGGCCGGACGCAGAGGAGCGCCGTCCAACAGAGGGGCGACAGGCCGGCCCGTCGGCACACCGCCGGACGCGGCACAGGGCGGGCCGAGCGAGGGTCCGCGCCACATCAAGACGGCCAAAAATCTCGGGAGATCTCAATTACCTATGGAAGCTGTTATTGGAATGCAGAACAACATTAACGATAGTTGCAAGCATTAACATTGTCATGGGCAAAGATACGAAAAAATTATGTCATATGAAAGCAAAACTTATCACCGAGCTAAGTAGCGTTTTAGGCATGCTCCCTCAACCAAATACAACAATGTACAATGCACAACAAGTCTTTGCCGTAACGGCAAAATAGAGTTCCAAATAGAACCAAGTAGCGACACAAAGCCCAATAAATGTGTCGGTCAACTTCAGTCAGTGTCACACCGGTGCCAATCGCACGGGGAGGGAGCCGGACCGACACAATGTCCCAGAAGACTCCCCTCGAGCCACCTACCATGACGGACGACTCCGCGGGCCGGTGTCGGGCCGGTGTCGGGCCGGTGTCTGGCCGGTGTGCCTTCCTCGACGGCCGCGGCCACCTCAGATCTAGGCTATGGCGGCCGTCCCCGGCGGCCGCCGGCTAGAGGCGCCTGGGTCTCGCGTCTTGCTGGTGCAACGCGCGGCGGCACCTAGCGCGGCCGGCCGGGCACGGGCGGCGGCGCGCCGGCCCGGCTCGGCTGCAGCGGCGGCGGCAGGCCCTGGCGGCCGCCCGGTCGCGATGGGATGGCCGGCGCCGGACGGCTGGAGGCCGGCACGGGCGGCGGGCCGCGGGAGGCTGCCGGCGGCGGAGGGCCGCGCCGCGCCACGCCCGGCGACGGCCCGCTGCTGGTCGAGTTGGCGAAGTCCATGTTGACGGCGGCAGAGGTGGGCGCCGCCGTGCAGGCCAGCTGGGCGCTGCTGATGATGCGCAGCGCCTCCTTGCAGGCGTGGTACATGCGCAGCATCTCCTCCCGCTTGGCGGCCTCCTCCTCCGACTCCTCCATCATGCTGGTCTGGTCGCCGCTGGCGTACAGGTGCGCCAGCAACTCGCCCATGATGAACGTCTTGCACTGGTTGATCATCATGTACATGATTGTCTTGGGCACCAGGTCGCCGGTGGTCTTGGTGACGATCTTCATGTAGCTGTCCACCAGGTTGCGGATGGTCTCCACCTGCCGCTCGAGGGCGGGATCCAGCGAGGCGGACGGCTCAGAGTTGCCCTCATCTCCGTTGGCGGGCGCCTCCTTCTCCGGGTAGACACCAGCGCGCAGGAACGACGCCTTCCACGAGTCCATTTCCTCGGAGGTCTCACAGGACAGCTCCAGCTGCTTCAGGTCCTTGTAGACGTTCTTTCCGCCCGGCGAGAAGATGGCGAACGCCGAGCGGCGGGACATGAAGCCGCTCTCGACGTCGCGCACCTTCAGGTTGTCCAGCGGCAGCATGTACTTTTTGTCACGTTCCTCCTCGTCCTTGAACCAGCTGAGGCTCTCGGACGTCAGCACGAACCAGTAGTCGCGCGAGCCGCCGCGCATGATGCCCAGGTTGCTGATGCCGAGGAAGCCCTTCCGGATCACCTGGTTGCCCAGCTTGCGGCCGGTCTTGTTGGCATTCTCCGTCTGGGACTGGGCGTTGGCGAAGCCGATGAAGTCCTCGTGGTTGGTGTTCATGTAGGCGAGCTCGCAGTCCACCAGCAGGATGATCTGGCGCTTCACCTCCGACTCGCGCTCGCGGATGAAGGTGCACACGATGCGCTCTGTCTCGTCGCGCAGACGCGGGTAGCGCGCCATCTTGTCGGTGCACGATCGCACCACGTTCGTGAGCTCCTGCACCACCAGATCGACGCACTTGAGGCTGGGCTCCTTCAGCCGCTCGATCTGCTTCTTGACGATGGCCTCAAAGGCCATGTCGGGCGTGAAGAGGCCGACGCGGATACCGTGGATGTTACGGATGGCGAAGGCGATCTCCTTGCGCAGCTCTTTCTCGTCGAATTCCATCTTGACGATCTCGAATGGGAAACGTTCGTGGAAGAGCCTGTTGATCTTTGCGCCGCCCGACAGCTCAGCGGTGTTGATGCGGCCGTCGCCCTTCCCGGAGCCTTCGATGGAGCGATCAAAGTCCGCCTGCAGCTGCTGGATCATCTGCAGCATCGCCTTCGTCTTGATGCTGGGATCGTCTGGTCGGAAGTGCTTGTACTCCTCCACTTCCTTCTCCATGCTCAGCAGCTGCTTCTGCAACTTGTCCCGCAGGGCTGGCAAGGTGTCTTTGATGTGATTGGACAGCTGCTGGTTCAGGACTCGCTGGAGGTAGGGTGTGCCCATGCGGTCAGCCATTGCCCTGTATGCAGGATGACTGAGGAAGAACTTTCTCTCGGCTGCCATGGCAGCTTTGATATCCTTCCTGCCATCAATATCCCTCTGGCTGCGGTTGACTACACCCACGTACCCTCGTCTCAGGGGGTATGTTCTGTTCTCCAGGATATCTTTGGCATCAGTGCCATCATCCATCAAGTCAAGCTTGGTGATGACTCCAATTGTACGAATTCCATCAGGATCCACTTCTTTTGCCAGCTTCAGTGCATCACTGATTGCCAAATCCTGGTTTGCAGGAGTGACTGCAAGAATCAGGCAGTTTGGCTTTGAGATGAACTGCATGAGCATGCTTCTAATTTGTTCCTCAATGTCTTTTGGCTGATCACCAACTGGTACCCTTGTCATACCAGGTAGATCCACTAATGTCAAGTTCAAGACATGGGGTGAGTACACTCTCAGGTTAATTGGTATTGGACTGATCCCTTTGTTAGATCCAGTCATCCGATCAGTTTCTGCTTCAATCTCTTTCCTGATATCATCAAAGTTGGCAAATTGTTGACCTTTGCAGTGCAGGAATTCACCATACTCTGATGGTCCATTTATCAACTGAAGCACCAAGGGTCGTCTTGTCACAATACCTGATCCACGAGGAAGGAAATCTTGTCCGACAAAGTTTTCCAATACTGATGACTTGCCAGCACTCTGTCCTCCAACAACAGCTATTTGGGGCAAGTCCAGCTGCATTGATACACCCATTTGAGAAAAAGCATCTTGCAGTTGGTTTACAATACCAATAAGGTTTTCCATTCCAGTGTTTCCCGACATTTTGATTAGGTGAGTTCACTGTCACCGAGTCCGAGAAGCAACACTGGAAAATTATGTACTGACTACTGAAGGTATCAAATTAAAGAGCAGCAATTTCTCTCACATATTACAATGTTTGTCTTCAAGATCAACTGAGCCAGAAAGGTTCAAAATAAAATACCCTTCGTTCAACGCATAGGAAGGGTTGCAGTCTTGCGGGCAGTGAGTGATCTGAACTGGACCACCAAGTTCTTTAGTATAACTGAACCAAAAAGATCAGTTTTCAAGCCTTCACAACAGAGCTACACACCTGTTTGTTAAACTTTAACACCACTGATTTCAATAAAAACAATAACAGCTGGGACTGGGACTTGGGATCCGAGGACTTGCACCGAGGACTCGGAAGCGAGATACGTGCGAGATACGCAAAGCAATAACAAGAGACGGCAGGTCAATATTTTCCTGTTATTTCATACACAAATGGCGCACCAGTTACAAAAACTGAAGAATGTGGGAAGCATGCTGCCACCAATTCAATATTCTGCGATTCCTTGTGTCATGCGAAATTTTCTTATCGAACGATTCTGGAACTGAGGGACAAAAGAAGAAATTTGGCTTGAAATATTTCTGATGTGGTCTTAAAATTGATATTTTGCTGTTGAGGAAAAATAATCCAAAAAATCTTAATTCAGATAAAACATCAATCACAACAAAAACGCACGGTTCCGTCCTCTAGCGTTCGAAATCCAAGCTAAGCTTTGTCGATCGCCGCTAGGTCTTGTCCACTCAGCCCTTGACTCAGCCTGGTCCAGCCGGTCGGTCTGATCTACAGCGCCATCTGATTTTCTTTTCTAAATCCACAGAGGGCAGCACTTATTCCTCCTGTCGTTTTTCGGTGTTGTCTGCTGGAAGAAGGGGAGCCGAAACACTCGCAGGCCGTACGGCAATGGCAGGCGTGCTGGAGTCTGGAGCTTTCGGGCCATTTGCGCCGCGCCTTTTCGTACCTACCGGGATGCCTCGTTGATCGTTCCGGAACCGCCAGGCTTCGGCTGTCACTATCTCCCGAACAGGAACGAACTTAGGATTTGGCCGTTTGGCCGGGGGGGGGGGGGGGGGGGGCGGAGGAATCCCGGGGGCCTCCTCTCTACAGAGGGCCTCCCTACTGAGGAGTCAGAGGGGCCCCATGGTCTTGTGGGTTTGTTGATCATTGAGCCACTTTATTTAAACATTTTCATCCACCCCGTAATTGAGAGTTTTGATGTTTCATATAATATCTAAGCATCATCTAAAATGTCTACCTACAAACATAGATGCATGCATTGCATACTTTGAAACATGGATGCGCAAACATCCTTCTCTAGCCCTCCCCATATGATCCCTCTCTCTGAGTGCGCCACTGCCGTGACCTCTGACCCACCCGGTGGTCCTGACCGCCAGCCGGTCACATACCAATACGTGACCGTCTCTAATCGCAAGACTCACCCCACTCCGTCCGAGTGAGTTGCCGTACGGTTGCGTTGCGTTGTGGTGTGTTGCGTCGCGTGATAATGCATTGTGGACAGTGTGGTGTGTTGCATTGCAGTATGGTGGAGTGAGTTGAAGTTCTGGGATAGCACAGTGAGTTGCAGGACGGTGCCGTGTGTTATGTTGCGCTGAGCTGTGTTTCGGTGAGAGCTGTAGTGCGCTGCGAAGCGGTGTGGTGTGGTGTGGTGTGCAGTGTTGCAGACGTTCTGGTGCAGTGCCCTGCGGTACATTGCGACGAGTCGTGAGGCGATGCGTTGCGTTGCAGTGCAGTGCAGTGAGTTTCAGAACTGCGCGACTTGGTACTGAGGCGGCCTAACTCAGCGTACAGAGACAAAGTGTATTCTGAAGACTGAGCAACATAAATTTTACGTGACCTGTCCAAGAAGACTTGCACTGTTTGAAAGTTTAGCTCAGTCGCGAAACTGAGCCATAAATTCGGCAAAGTTTGAGGCGCTGTGCCCGGTTTGCCTCGAGCATTCCTCTTCGTTCCTGGCCGGAACAACATGCGACAGGCGGCAGGCGAATGGAACCGGCACTATGGACCAGTCGACTCCGAGGATGGGCAACGGAACATAAAAGGTAAATGTAACGTCAATCGTCATTTCTGTAGCCTTATTAGCAAAGGGTCAGTCGTCCATAAGCACCTATTAGCACATTAGCGAACAGTCGCCGAAAGCTTTTAAGTTCTCTGTCTTCAATCCGGGTGCAATGCAATTTCTGGCCGACCGACTTGAATTTTTCATTTGTCCAATATTGGCAAATTCAATGACAGCTTATAGCTTTTTAAAGCGGTCCTATGCTTGTAAAAATAAATGCGCAATTTTCCCAAAGATTGAAAATTGCGTCGCCAAAGCCACACAAGTCAATATTATAAATCGTTATAGGTACTATAAAATAAAATAAAATAAAATAAAATAAAGTAAAATAAAATGAAATGAAATAAAATAAAATAAAATAAAATAAAATAAAATAAAATAATATAAAACAAAATAAAATACAAGTTGTTATATCTATTATCAACATCGCTATCCTTTATGAATCTGTTATGAGTTAATACATAATGGTTGATAAAGGCGCAGAGCCGAAAGCTCCCGAAACTCTAGGTATTTTGTCTTTTGAATTTTTATATCTTTTGGCCAATATGATGGTAAGGTTAAAATATCTTATTATATTCACAATGTCTCTCAAAACTGTGCTCAAAACCATTCAAGATGATTGAGTAATTGAATGCAACAAGTCAAGTGCAGATGTAGGTACTTAAAATGGTAACACTAATGGCTATGAGCTGTTGTAATCGCTGTGACTGTGCTGTAAGCACCTTCGACAATTACGTAACAGTGGACAGATTGGAGTGACAATCACCGGGGGCGTGGCGTAATGGTGTTAGCGAGCGGCGTCCGAAGGGCGGGTGGGCGGAGTCGCGTGTCGCCGGCTCGTTCCGTGCAAGTGACGGGTCTTCTGGAGTGGCGCGGGGACCGGGTGACACCACGGTCCGGCCACCGTGTCAGGTGGTGGTCCTGTCCACACTGAGATCGATCGCTCATAATATCGGCATATCCTAGCAACCGACCTCCAAACACAGCCGCCGTCCGGCCTCTGGCAGCGGGCCCGGGCTGCGGAGGTCCAGCGGCACCGGTCCGGCCAGCGGGGGTCCTCCGCGCCGAGGCCGTACCTCCCGATCGGGAGTGTTTGGTTCCTCCGCAGCGGGCTCCGGCTGCAAGTGCTCGCCCGGTGCGCGTTGCAAGCACACGGAGAGTCTTGGGTCCGGTCGGAGGACGCGAGGGTAGCCATGCGCGAGGTCATCAGCATCCACGTCGGCCAGGCCGGCGTCCAGATGGGCAACGCCTGCTGGGAGCTCTACTGCCTCGAGCACGGCATCACACCGGACGGACATATGCCCTCCGACACCAGCTTCGGCGTCGCCGACGACAGTTTCAACACCTTCTTCCACGAGACGGGCACGGGCAAGCACGTGCCACGCGCTCTGTTTGTGGACCTGGAGCCGACGGTGGTGGATGAGGTACGCATGGGCACGTACCGCCAGCTGTTCCACCCGTCTCAGCTTCAGTCCGGCAAGGAGGACGCCGCCAACAACTATGCCCGCGGACACTACACCATCGGCAAGGAGCTGATCGATCATACCATGGATGTGATCGGCAAGATGGTGGAAAACTGCAGCGGCTTCCAGGGTTTCCTGGTGTTCCACTCATTCGGCGGCGGCACCGGTTCCGGCTTCACCTCGCTGCTGATGGAGAAGCTCTCACTCGACTATGGTAAGAAGTCCAAACTGTGCTTCTCCATCTACCCGGCGCCGCAGGTGGCCACGGCTGTCGTGGAGCCGTATAATGCGATCCTCTTCACGCACACAACTCTGGAGCACGCCGATGTCGAGTTCATGGTCGACAACGAGGCCATCTACCAGCTGGCGCAGAGAAACCTGGACATCGAGCGTCCGACGTACACCAACCTGAACCGTCTTATCGGCCAGATTGTCTCCTCCATCACGGCCTCGCTGCGCTTCGAAGGCGCACTGAACGTCGACCTGACTGAGTTTCAGACCAACCTGGTGCCGTACCCGCGCATCCACTTCCCGTTGGCGACCTACGCTCCTGTCATCTCTGCGGAGAAGGCCCAGCACGAGAAGATGTCTGTGGATGAGATCACTCAGGCCTGCTTCGATCCTGCGAATCAGATGGTCAAGTGTGACCCACGTAGCGGCAAGTACATGGCCTGCTGTCTCTTGTATCGCGGAGACGTCGTGCCGAAGGACGTCAACGGGTCAATTGCTGCCCTCCGCAACAAACGCAGCATCCAGTTCGTCGACTGGTGTCCGACCGGCTTCAAGGTGGGCATCAACTACCAGCCGCCGACCGTGGTGCCCGGCGGCGACCTGGCCAAGGTGCAGCGCGCCGTCTGCATGCTCTGTAACACCACTGCCATCAAGGAGGCGTGGGGCCGTCTCGACCACAAGTTTGACGTGATGTACGCCAAGCGCGCCTTCGTGCACTGGTACGTCAGCGAGGGCATGGAGGAGGGCGAGTTCTCCGAAGCTCGCGAAGACATCGCGGCTCTGGAGAAGGATTACGAGGAGGTAGAGACCACGGCGATCTTTGACGACGACGATGACGACGACTATTGAGCCGAATGAGAAGGTGAATAGGAGAGGCTCTCATACGTCACCGTCAGTGAAGTTCACTGGAAAAGCTGCACAAGTATTGAGGAGAAGCTGCTTAACTCAGGAAGGCGTGAAAAGCTTGATAATCTCTTAGAAGGAACAGTCATACATATATCAGGATTGTTCATAGACATGGCTCACCACTACGCTCGTGAACTAATATCACTTTTGTCTTTTGTCACAAGAAATCTACGGATGCTTCGTTATACTTGAACGAAATCATTAATGGAAGCTTATTGTGTTGGTAGGGTACGCGATTTCTTAGCATTGTGTGCGCTTGTGGCGCTTGTTGTTTGGGGTAGTGTTATGGCGATTTACATTGTTATTATCTGTCGGTTCACTCTTGCATAAGTGTCAACACTGTCTATCACGGGGACTAGAATAAGGCGGCACCTGCCCAATTACATGGTAGACTGGGACATTTATATACTAATTAATCAGTCTAATGGAACTGAGTGTTCCTTTTGTCATAACCTCATTCGTTTAAGCATTGAGCAGCATCCAAGCGTTAACCCGCGTCTTAAGAACTTATAGACCTATCAAGTATTTTGTTTCAATTATTGTAATTGTCCAATGAGCTTATTTAAATGTCAGTGATGACATTTTATATCGCTTTAGTAATGTTTTGCGCGACGCTTTTCTGCTCTGACAATGGTGAATGGTTCTTTACATTGGAATGTAAGACACTTTCATACTTCAGACACTTGGTATCGGGTAGTGTCCGTTCATTTCGCAAAGATACTGTCGTTAGATTTATCCTGCATTCTGACCTATATCCCTGCATCATGCTGATTGTAACCATGAGAAGTAATTTTTGAACGATATAATGCGATGTAGGTACTGTGATAGACATCCATGCAATACACGTCGAGCTTGACAATTATATTCAATTTAGGTATGCATTAGATAGGCACCTTTCGCAATTCGCTGGAAGGAAACTGAACGTAGAAACTGCAATACAGCGGACAAGACGTTTCATCTTGATGCCAGTGCGCAGAAGGCCAATAGCAGCAGGCAGCAGTACTCGCACTCGCAGTCCTGCACCACTCCTTCTGTGCTTACGGTATTTGTATTGCTAATAAAAGAAAGAAAAATGCGTTCGTGTAGTATAAGCTATGGATCAAATTGCTTCTATTATTTTCAATAATGGTGACAAAAGTAAAAAGTAAAAACACCGTCAGAAAGATGACTTTCATTACATTCAATGAGCCGAAACACCATTTAAACTGCACACCATCAGTTGGTTCAAATGATAGATGATTGCCTATTTATTACCTTGGCTTCCATTACTTTTTTGCTATGTTTTTCATCAAACATTTGAAATAGGTATATGAGTCGCTACAAGCACAGGTCACTATGTTTGATATCCTACGACGCATATCCTGGACGCTATCGCCAGTGTTACCGTCAATTCAAACGTTTCATGATGGTGCTTCAATAGCCAGGATAGTATTTACAATTCAGCTCATCAATCATCATGTAGGAATGCTTCAGTTGTAACATGCATGTGTAGTAGCATACTAAACTCGTTGTCTTTCGGATTTTAATGTCGTAAAGACAGTTAACATCGTGACATGAGTTTCGCGATGTCTTGAAACTCAGTTATAGTCAAAACATAATCCTGTTCATTGAGGTATTAACCCGCGCCCCCACTGCAACTGGGGTCTGCGTATAACACGCCCTACTGGGGGTGGGGGGGGGGGGCTATTCATAGCCCCCCTCTTAACTACGAAACTTCTGGGCTGATTGTCAAAATTCAAAAGGCGTCTGATAGCCCTGGAAAAACTGTCGAACGAAACCTAATTTCAATGACCTCGAGGTCACCGATGACGTCACAGGTCAGGCCAAATTAAGAATTATCGATGATTGGCTTGTTCATATTTTTGGACTCTGGCCGCCGGCTTACCAGTCAGATCAGTCTCATTTTTAGTTTATACACTCGTTAAGAGATACATACTTTAGATGTCCTGTGGGTATCAAACTTCTACTTTGATTTTCAGGTCAGGATCAGGTCATCACAGCTCACGGAAATCTTATATCATATATATATCGGTCACGGGACACATGTTTTATGGTCCATTTAGGCCACAGATTTCGTCGTTTGGTGCCGCCTGTGTTATTGGAGGCCATTTTCAGCTGAAAATAGCTGAGGTCAGGTCACTTTCAGGTAAAAAAAGGTCAAATTTTAAAGTTGCAATTTTTCATAAAAAAAATGTCTATCAGATGCAATTTGAGCTCCGGAACACGTTGGTGCTATTTATTTTGCTGTAAGATGTCAAATACGTACTGAAAAATCGATTAGAAAATCTATAATTGTGATATTTTTGCTATAATGCTTAAAACTGGGCTATTTTTAAATATATCTGGCTTAAACTTGCTAGGGTATGTCATGGGCATGTGTTCCATCACATATATTCCGTTTTTTTCTCGAAAAGTCAAAAACGTTTTGAAAAAATATGATTTTTTAAAAATTCTATGCATATATGATATAATTTTCCAAATTTTCGACACTTTGGAGATCCGAGATAGCTGTTGGATAGCCCAGTGTATTCTGAGTCCTCTCATGCTAAGAAATTGGATCTAGCTCAAACACAGCTCTTGAGAGCAATTGCCGTAGTTCAATGTTTTGCGTCGAAATCGGCCGAACATGACGTCACTCTGACGTCATTTCCGGCCGACCTATGGTAGCTACGAGGTTCATATTTTACCACAAGGTGTCAAATTGATGTAGCCGAAGGTACTAGAAGTTTCGCGTCGATATGTTTAGCGGTTTAGAATTTATTGCAGAAAAACGAGAGGGGGCTATGAAGAGCCCCCTCTCCCAATAGGGCGCGGGTTAGCTATCCATATACAGGGTTGGGCAGATAAATTGGGACAAAATACATATTTGCATTTAGAACGCCGTAGCTTAGAAATTTGTAAACATAGGCATTTCAAATTTGGATCACATATTGTCACACCAATTTTACACATTTTCACCAAATATGGTCACCGTGGTCCACCTGCATCAGTCCTTATCGGTGCCTGGACTGGCCGCACGCGCGGCGAGATCTCCCGTCTGAAATGGCTCGTAATTGTAGCCAACTGGCACTGCTGAGGTTCACCACAGTCATATGGGGACGTTCGTTAGACTCACCCGCAAAAACGCCCCAGCAACCAGAACTTGTGTGGGCTGAGGTTTAATGAGGAAGGGGGCATTTTCCCTTGGGTACAGTTTGCGGGATCCCCCGTTTCAGGAGATTTTGTATTTAATTAAATGTATGCCGGGGAGCTGACTCCTCGAAGAGCATCACTCCATGCAGGATGTTGCCTTCTTTCATCTTGTTGATTCGAACTGCCGGAATAATGGTTAGGTACCCTGTAATGGCGAACCCCCTCCCGGCTCCGTAAAATAAGGGGGCCCCACGTGACCGTCAGAAGTCACCGAGTGGAATACCATCACCGATGTCTGCTGCATGCTTTTTGGAACTAAGATCACGTCTTCTGGGCTGGGTGCGATGTTACATGGTGGTTGCGGTTGTTCATATGTTCGGTTATGGGGATACCATCGTCGAAAAAGACCTGCACATGCTTGCTCGCTTCTCCAAGCCCTTCAAGAGGAAACAATCTTTTTAACGTCACAGCTGCTTCAACATCTATGTTGACAGGTTGATATGCATCAATGCATAAGAGTACATGTTTGAGGTGCTGGTATATCGCTTTCTCATGGCGCGGCTACCTTCGTTGCAAGCTCGCGCCACTGTTTTCGCGAGAATCCTCTGAGTTAACTGAATTTTGCCTTTTAGCCCCCCTGGAGAACCGGGGGAGCGGCCGGTGTCAATGCAATTGGTAGGTAAGGATGAGTCAATATCATCTCTTCCTCCAACGTTTACGTCTGTTCGATACACACTACTTTCAGCCATTTGATGGAGCATAATAAGAGTTTTGGCACGCATGTGCGCGCGGACTAAGTTGATAGTGGCTTGCTTAAGCCCACGTTCTGTGACCAGCCGACTCAAAATTGCAACGCAACCTGCATAACATGGAAACGTATTCATTAGCCTATATCTATGTTCAAAAATTATCTTAATCACTCAAAAAATAGTCGTTTTAGAGGAAGTTGAAATTTGTCCCAATTTATCTGCCCAACCCTGTATGCGTTTTATGATCCCGCCCTCTACGCCGTTGCAACTAATTTGAGTGTAACGTATGCCCCATGATGTATGATCTCTGCTGCTCACCTGCCCGTTAAGTTCTTCGTCTGGCAGACATTTCCGCGTTATGATACTAGCATTACTCATGTAGCACGTCCTTCGCGTGACTTTCATAATACATTGAGACATATGTTCCACCATTGTTAGCCCTGTTGCACGCTTCACACGACCGTTCGTTCTGCATTCGTTCTGCAAATGCTCCAGCTCTGTTTCCCGTGTAAGGATGGTCGTCACGACCAGCGAGGGTGCTCCATTCAGGCGAACTATTCGGGTCAAATGTCCGCCGCACCGCCTGAAAACGTGAGACCTTGTTAGATTCCATTAAATGTGCGCCATTAAATAGGTCACAGTCGATGTCCACAGCGGATACTGTCATATGTAGGCTTGTGGTTTGAGACAAACTCTCAGGAAGTCAATGAGAGCTAGCATTTACCAGAAGAACTTGATCGTGACTCTTCAATTAACCCGTAGTTCAATTTAACAGAAATGCTATTGAAATTAGATTACAGTTAAAATAACGTGCAAAGGACATTGCAATGTATAACTCATTGTATGCTGCTTGAACCAGAAAGAGTAATTCAGGCCCAGTTCACCTCGGCGTTCGTTATTTTGCTGATCGGATAGCGTGCAACTAATGACAGTGATTATGTTCGAGGCCAGGCAGTGAGCCTCACTGTAAGACAGCGTGTGTTCTGCTGGTGGAACACGTCAACTTCGCCAATTAATTTCGTCATTCAGCCTGACGTTCCCCGATTGGGTCTAGTGATCTTTGACCAGCACACATGGCTTCAGATGGGCTGATGCTGGCTGGTTCGTATAACAGGTGCCATTCCCATGAGCTCTAGTCGCCATGCCTTGGTGGACTGTGGTCATTATTGTCTCAGTTTAGTTTTATTGCTAAAAACCATAGCAATAAAACTAAACTGGTACCCAATACTATTACCCAAAATGCTATAATACCCAAATTAGGTACCCAATACGCACAGTGTGAGGCTGGTCTTTTCTCCCCTCGGCATTCTTATTTTATAATTCATTCGACTGAATACAAAGCTGAGTGAATTTGCCGAAATTAGGTAAATATTGATTTTATAATTATTATATAAAAACATGAGAGAAGTGGGTGTAAATAAAACGGGAAGCACTCATGACGTACGACATCCACATAAAAGTTCCTGTAAGTTTTTGTTCTCGATTGATTAGTGATTCTCCGGCCTATTCCTCTTCTTCGATGCCGTCGTATGTATAGCGGTAGTCCCGTAGACGTCTTGAGGATGACAATCCGGTGTTATCGCTGGCTTCCAGCGGGCTTCCAGCGGATGAGCCGCCTCTCAGCCCTCTGCCGTCATAAGTGCGTTAGAGGGGAGGGGCCGGTATAGGGAGGGTGTCTAGTGGGCAGTGGCGGGAGCCGCTCCCCGGCGCCGCTCCTATATACAGCCCAGATGCCGGAGAATCTCCCGTCAGCCGCGCACAATGGACGCTCACAAAGGCGACGCTCTCCATCCGTCACCAGTCGATGAGAGCCGCTGCGCCGGACCCCCCCCCTCCCCCCGGGCCACCTAATCCTGCCAATTTCCTCTGGGCCCGTCAGACCCGGCGCGCATCATTTTCCGCCAGTTCTTGGTGTTTGCTTCTCGAGACACTTTACTCAACTTAAGTCGCTTTCAGTCACGCCTGTCGATGTTTACCC